CCTTTTTTTTTTCTTTTTTTTTTTTGAACGAAGTGCGTTTTCATACTCGAACCCTGTATCCAGCGGCCTAGCTCAGTTGGTAAGGCACGCAAGTGGCATTCATCCCCATTGGCCTCATGTACCTTCCTGGGCATGCTTGGCGCCCGCCACCTAGAGATAGCCCGTTGGTCCCCCCAATTGGCATTAAAAAGCAGTCTCTGCTGATGTTTATAGGGGGAGGGGTAATCGGGGAGGCACAGCGACTGGCCACTCAGATGATGCTCGATCCCTCTGCTACCGGCTGTCCCCTGGCCGGTGCCCCCCAGTGGGGGATCCCTTAAGACTATCAGGCCACCCTAAGGCTATCAAGCCACCCTGGGCTGAAAAGGCCACCGTTCCCAGATTAGACACAAGATTGAATTTACCTGGGCTGGTTAGTCCGATGATAATACCTCAAGGCCATCGCCCTTTCAAAAAAAAAAAAAAAAAAAAAAAAAAAAAAAANGTCTATACCCGAATAGAAGGCCTGGTAAGTACAGACGTATCTGGACAGAAAGTTGCACCAAATACAGCTATAATGACTGGGCGTTCTATTCGGGTGAAGAGGGCAGGTCAAGATATATACCCTTACGTAACATTGGGAAGTTGGGCCCCTTCAAATCTCATGAAAATATTGAGGGCAACTTCTGCAGAAAACCGGATCAATATACCTTTCTCAGCCTTTTGGCTAAGGAAGATCACGTGCCGGATCTGTTCTGATCAGTTTAATATCTGATCCGTGGTCCATCGGAATGGCGATTTTCGTCCTTCGGGACATCCGTTAAAATTGGAACGATACAGAGAAGATTAGCATGGCCCCTGCGCTTCCAAGGATGACAGGCATAAATCGAGAAATGGTCCAAAAAAAAAAAAAAAAAAAAAAAAAAGAATGGCGATTTTCTGCAGCTCTCGACAAACACGACCAGATTGAGGCGTTAAATCCAATCCTCTTTGGCAGCGGGACTTTGCCCTGGCGGTATATGCTACTATACGGTCGCGCGGTCGTCGGGGGGCGATCATCAAAACACACATGACAAAAAAGAGAGAAGGGGGGCCGAGAGAGGGGCGGCAAGAATGCAATAGGTGCTTCTCAGATACCGTGCTGAGGAGCTCACATTAACAGTTGACTTCAACGAGGGAAGTGCATGGAGGTTGGGAATTACCACGTGGAAACTGCAGGGAAGTTGGGATTACCACGTGGCAACTGCAGGGAAGTTGGGAGTTAACACGTGGTAACTGCTGGGAAGTTGGAATTACCACGTGGCAACTGCAGGGAAGTTGGGAATTAACACGTGGGCATGCTAATCGCTGGTAGGTTGGAATTACCACGTGGAAACTGCAGGGAAGTTGGGAATTACCACGTGGTAACTGGAGGGAAGTCTTCGGAATTAACACGTGGACGTGGTGACTGCTGGTAGGTTGGAATTACCACGTGGCAACTGCAGGGAGGTTGGGAATTAACACGTCGTAACTGCAGGGAAGTTTTCAGAATTAACACGTGGTAACTGCTGGGAAGTTGGAATTACCACGTGGCAACTGCAGGGAAGTTGGGAATTAACACGTGGTAACTGCAGGGAAGTCTTGGGAGTTACGAAGTGGCAGCTGCAGGCAAGTTGGGAATTACGACATGGCAATGTGCAGGGAAGCCGCGAATTACCACCTGGCAACGGCAGGGAAGCTGTAGCGGCCTGTGGCATGCCCTCTCGGACCCGCCTGTGTCATCCTAGTCCAGTTCCAGACCGCCTCTGTTCCTGGACCAGCAGGCCCCGCATCCAGCCGGGTATATGTCTATGTACATTGCTTCACATTGTTCCTTTTTGGCACTGAAACCATTGATCCGGCCTCAGTCACGCTCAGCTGCTGCTTCTCGTGTCTGTCCTCCTCTCTCTCTTTCTCTCTCTCTCTCTCTCTCTCTCTCTCTCTCGCGTTCGCTCTCGATCTCGCGGGGGGGAGTGCGTGCGCGCGCGTGTAGGCGCGTGTGCACGCGTGCGACGGATCTCACAGCTGAAAGCTCAGCACAGAAGCTGGGAATTACCACGCGGTAACTGCAGGGAGGTTGAAATTTACTAGCTGCGTGGCAACTGCAGGGACGTTGGAGCTTGCCACCAGACAACTGCAGGGAAGCCGGGAATTACCACGTGGCCACGTGGCAATTGCAGGGAGGTTGGGGATTTTTTGCCGGGAGCTAGTCTACTACGTAGTAAAAGCGCTGAGCTCAAGCTTAGCGATCCGCGAGAAAACAGGACGTAGTGCCACGTGGAAGTATCCATCAAGACGAAACAGAAGGTAGTGCCACGTGGAAGCAGCGGCTGAGGGTTTTGCAAGCTTGAGGTGCTGGGATTTCTTGGCAGTGCATGCCAAACAAGGGAACAAGAAAAGGCCCTGAGGAGGGAGGCTCTCTTCTCGACCAGCAGGTCGTGCCACGTGGCAGTGACTGAGGTCTTGACTCTTGAGGGGAAGCGACGGCTTCTTCGGTGTTGGGTTGGGACGTGCACGTGGCCGCGGAGCAGCTGTCTATTCGAGAACGCTCTCCGAGCATGGCTATGGACATCTCGGGGGCCACATTACGGCAAAGCAGACAGTTTCAAGTTGGCAGAGGGAGCTTTCTTTTTCTTGCTTTTTTTTTTTCCCCCTTCCTGTTTTGAAACCCTTCGCAGAGGATCAAATCAGCCCGCCATAGCTACCTCTCACAATCAAGGGGATGCATGCAGTTATGCTTGCAGGGGTCCCTTGTATAGGCTTAGGAGTAGTGGTAGGTAGGTGGGTAGGTGGGTAGGTGGGTAAGTGGGTAGGTGGGTAGGTGGGTAGGTAGGGAGAGGTGAGATCGCGAGAACAATATAGCTTAGCTTTTAAAAAAAAAAGAATAAATCAGCCCGCCACAAGGGAGGGAGGGGGGGGGGGCGGCGGGGGGGGGGGTAGAAAAAGGGGCAAGAAATGGCGACAAGTGGGATGCCATCCCAGAGACCACCGAGACTCTGTTTCAGCTTGCTAAATGCGCGCAAGTCACAAAAGACAAAAATAATGGTGGATACCTTTCTCGGCCTTTTGGCTAAGATCAAGTGTAGTATCTGTTCTGAACAGTTTCATTTAACAATAATAATAATAATAATAATAATAATAATAATAATAATAATAATAATGATAATAATAATGGTGGGCTATCTTTTCAAGTTGTAGCGCAAGACTCATTCTTACGCATTTTGCAACATTTCGCGAGTGGTGAATGAGGCCCAAAGCTTGGCCTTTCATCAGACTTGCACCTGGTCTAACTGTCAACGTAAGGCTGTCTGGCAGTTTGCGCAAAGTAGCAGCTGCGGAGGCAGCAGCCATCAACCTGGCAGGCGTTGTCAGCGGCTAGGGACACATCACCAGATGAGCTGTCTCTTATACACATCTAGATGTGTATAAGAGACAGATCTACCCAAGGCCCTGTGAGCAAAATTGAAAACCTGATAGTAACTGTTACTGTGTTACAGATAAATAATAAATATATGTGCCATATACTAGACCAGCCTGATCTCATCCCAGGGGCCTCGTCCCACTAGCGAAGAATTCTACAATGTGTGACAGCATTTTTGCATTTTTTAATGGTTTTTAAGTGGTTTAAAAATGAATCAAACCTAGGCTACCAGAGTGACCCGGGGTTACTTGCCCGGCCGGGCCAAAACAATTTAAAATATATATATCGTCACAAACAGAACTGCCCGGTAAACCGTAGGCAGAGAGAGAGAAGAGGACAACAAACGAGGGGCTGTGACAAACTATTTTGAATATATATATCCTCACAAACAGAACTGCCCGGTATTTATTCTAAATTTGGTGAAGAATTTCGATGTGACCCTGAGGCAAAAGTTGTTCAGTTTATTTTTCTGCATAACATAGGTTGTTTTCGGATTTTTTGGATTTTTTTGTTTCTTTTTTTTTTTTGCTGGGACCTTCCCTGGTCCTTGCACGGGCTGGCCAGCCGGGACCTGAGCGGCCGAGCTGGTAGCCTAGAATCAAACTAAATTATTTTCTGTTATATATACTTTTTTCATCGATTTTTTTGTAACTGCCTCCCACGTTCTGCAAATTCGACGCCGCGTCAGACGGGATCTTTGCCTGCCGATCGGTCCAAAATATGAATGAACTTTGTCGAGGAAGAGTCCAAATGCATGTGTAGTATTATTCTCACGTTGCCAGCCCCTACGTCCCGACTGAAATAAAAACGCCATGTAGGAATGATAGTAACTGCCCACATTTTTTTTCTCTTTTTTCGCAGTACGGCAACGCGTAAACAGCAACGCGTGAAGTCTCGAAAACGCCCCCCCCCCTCCAAAAGTCTGGAAATCCAGACCAACGTCAATGCTCAATATCAATAAAAAATTCCACTCGCAGCCAGTTCATTCCCCCCCCTCCAAAAGTCTGGACATCCAGACCAACGTCAATGCTCAATATCAATAAAAAATTCCAGTAGCAGCCAGTTCATTGGTCGGTGCTTTCTCATGGGCACCACTGTATACTGCATCAGGCGGGCTCGTCGATGCAAACTGAGATGTGCAGTTCGAGTCTGTCACCCCCAGCCGCACGTGATCGGAAACGTCAACTACGAAGTAGAATACCTCCCTAGTGGGACGAGGCCCCAGGGCCCAGGTAGGTAAGATTTTTCAGACAATGCTGTCACTAAATAAAGCCTCCAAAAAAGATCGTGGTAGAGGACATGCGAGCTGCCATCCCCTCTTTCAATTTCAGAAAAGCTTACATTGTCAACCAACTTGAAAAGCAAGTCAATTTATTTTTTTTCTCTCTTTCTTTTTTTTTTTTTCTTTTTTTTTTAAGTCAATTGAATTTAGGATTTTTTTTTTTTTTTTTTTTTCAGAGGGATTGGCAAACCTGGGGGGGGGCCGCGGCGGTTGGCAGAAATTAGCACTCTAAGTTAGCGCTACCGGCCCACGAGACCGGTTCAACGTATCGGGTTCACCCGACACCATGTCAGGGACACGGTAGAGACGATGGTCATCCAAGCTCATCTTGTTCGACAAGATCGAGGAAAACTGCTCGTCGCAGCAGGGAGGCCAAAGTCCACGTTGGCCCAACGAACGTAGAACTTGAAGAACTTGAAGAATTTGAAGACTGTGAACAGCGACCTGATGCGAAGACTTGGAATCAAGCAGAGCAACAAGTTCCAAGGACACTTGACTGAAACGTCGAAGTTCAGCCCGCATGGCATCTCGGAGCTCTCAAGCCCGAAGAGCGAACCGCTCCCCGCCAAGGGAAAACGAGGTTCTGTTATCCGACGAAGCACGTATCCAACTGCTCATAGCCAAGTGCTATGAGGACGGCGCCTTCACGGAAAGAATCAGTCAAGGAGTAGTGGTAGTGGATGGGGAGGATATCTTTAGAGGTAATAGGAGGGTGGGTGAACTTACCACAGCATGGCTGAAGGAGAGACTCGTCATGGTGATATTCCAAGGTGCAGCAAGAGACTTCCCAATCAAAGTCAGGGAAGACTTGATAAGGGCGTACGAAAATGGGTCGTATCAAAATTGCATCTTCGACCGTACGGTGAAGAGGGGAAGGGTTCATGGCGAGGGTCTGAATATCATGACCTATATAGCCATGAGCAGACAGGTAGCGCAGTGGATGGTGGCGAAAGGCGAGGATAAAGTGACGGTAAGAGGTGTGGAATATAGGATGCTTTTCAAACAATGGCTCACCAGGAGAGAACTGGACGAACGTCGAAGGATGGAGGACGAGACTCGGTTCTGGACGATGGCGCTCAGAGTTCCTGTTAGAGCGATGTTTCCACTCAAGGATATGGTCAGCAAGGTGATGGGAACAGTCATTAAGATGCACCCACCCGAGCCTGATTGATCTTGGCAGAAATTGATGAACCTAAAATTCGAACTAGTGAGGGAAGCAGAGGCTCGGTTCAAGGAAGAAATAACTATGGAGTTGGATGATGAGGAAAAGGTCAAGATAAAATTCATTTGTAAACATATAGATGGTGGTATCACTCGGCCACTAGTGGCTGTCCCTGTATTGCAGAGGCAGCAGAGCAGGAAAACGGCGAAGGGGTGGCAGCCGACAATTTCAGCAACAGAGGGCAAAGACCCAGAGAAGAAGCATGGGAGCGAGGGATAAGAGAGGCGGCAAGAGAGCAACAAGCAGCAGAAGATGGAAGATCAGGGAGTGTCGCGGAACAACCACAAGGAATTGGAAGCCGACAAAGAGATCAACAAGCATCTAGCAGAAGGGGAGGCGAAATTAGAGGTAGTGTGGTGCTACAACAACATACACAGGTGTTAGGTTCGCGCGAGGTTCAAGCACGTAGTGGCGGTACCGGAGCCGTAGCCAGTGGACAAGCCTGACCCGTTCATCCGTGGAGCGCTCAGCGTTCTGGAAGCCAGAACATGGGAGCGTCGGCTTCTCAGGGACAATACGGTCCAAGAGAAAGAACGCCGACAACACGGCGAAGAGTGCACACACAAATGGATGGCATTGCAGGTGGCCTACTACAACAAGACAGGAGGATAGAACGTGAAGAACTGAGACCAGAACAAGGTACGACAACAATCGTGGTACACGGAGAGGCAACAGGAATCCAAGACATGCAGAGTGAAGAAGAGGAGATTGAAGCAGAGGAGCAAGACAGAATCAGGGGAGATGGACTTGAGAGGACCTTGGTGGTGACAGAGCAACACGAAAAAGAAAGGCAGGACGACATGGATCGATCAGGAGGCAGCGAGGAAGAGGGAGAAGAGGAAACGTATAGGGAGATTGCACCAGGGGTCGGCACTACCGAAAGTGAAGAAGAAGAGAGGATTGAAAATTTTATCTTACCGTTAGTATGTGCCCTTCAGGATCGAGAAACGTACGTCTTTAGGTCTACTTAACAACTATGGAAGTTTGTCCCTGTCAGCGTGCCCTATGGTGGGAGTGCCCACCATCAAATCCATCGTGGCAAGCATTAGACAGCTGTTCGGGGGCCGTTTCTTTTTTCGTCTTTTCCCCAAAGATGTACAGCCAAAAACTCGGGTCGATCTGGAGGATGGTAGGAAACTGAAGTACTACATCCCCCTGATTGACAGCAGGATTGCTCCAGAGAACTGGAATGGAATCACACAAGTGGGCATGGACTGTTTTTCACTTCTCGTCATGACAGGAGGCGATCGGTCCTACTTGTCCAATGTATTGGTGGAACTAGGGATTGAGGCCACTTTTCTGACAAAGTTAAATGAGAGGCTCCCTGTCAGAAGGAGCCTCAATTCACTCTACATCGCACAGATCCTGGCCGCCAGATGGTCGGAACCTGTACCGTTGTCTCAACAAGAGGAGGAACAACGTATCCAACAAGCAAGTGACGCATTGCGACAGGATGGTCAGATTTAGAGTCGCTACCTGGAACGTTAGGGGCCAGGGGATACAAGTGGAAGGCAGAAAGGAAGGCGACTCAAAACTTGGATGCATGAAGAGGCCATTGATGTGCTCCTCCTACAGGAAACGAAACTGTCGTCTCGAAAATTAGCCCAACTGCGGGATTGGTGGGGCGGTCCTCAACTGTGGTCCCCTGCACGCGGATCAAGGGGTGGAGTTGCAATCCTAGTACACAGCAGAGTAGAGGCGAAGCTAGTAGACTACGATGCAGACCTGTGGAGGCGCTGGGTTTGGATAAAGATCCTGATAGGGTCAGAATCCTGGGTCCTAGCATCCATCTATGCACCGAACGATAAACTGGACAGATTAGAGTTTTTTGAAACTCTTCCGTACGTACTGCCTAATGTTGAGAGGATGATTGTGGGTGGGTACTGGAACCAGGTAATTAATCCAAGAGTAGACTCAGACAGAGGAGAGAACATGAAGAGAGACCGCAAGGCCCTGATAAGATGGAAGGAAGCTTGAGCACTGGTAGACACTTTTCGAGAAATGAACCCACAGGCCCCAGGGTACACTTGGTTTGGTAACATACCAAGGAGTGCAGCGACCAAACGCATACTGGATTTTCTATTGGCATCACAGGAAGCCACTAAATTGGTAATCAAGGTGGCGGAACAAGAGGGTTCTATATCAGATCACAAACCAGTGGTGCTAGAAGCAGAGGTGGGACAGAAGCTGTCGAGAGGGCCAAGCTGGTTCAGACTAAACATACACAATCTGAAGGACGATGGTTGGAGGCAATGGTTGTCAACCTTCTGGGAAGAATGGCAAAAGGCACGAGCTAACTTTGTCTCACACGTAGAATGGATGGACGCAGGAATTCGGATTATCTCACACAAGTTTGACGTATTCTCCAGAATAGCTGCTCACATGCGTGTCGAAGAAGAGTGTCAGAGGTGGAGGAGGGAATGCAGCTGCACCCGATCTCCGAGCTAGTATGGGCGGAAGAAAGTCTTAGAGAGGTCAGAGTGAAGGAATGGGGCGACCTACAAGTCAAGCAGACAGAAACATGGGAGCAGATCCTAAAAGAGAAAGGTATTGTGAGTGGAGATCGCATGGCAAAGAGCACCTTTCAAAGGCTACTCCCAAGAAGGCAAAAAACTTTGATGAACGAACTGAAGCACCCCCACCTGGATGCAATGCTGCCTGCTACCTCGTTGGATGAAATGGGCACCTACGCAACGACCTACTTCAAGGACATCCTAACAACACGCAGGCCAGACCAATGCATCGACGAAGACTTCACAGTACACTCCACACTCTGGGATAATGTGACAATAAGACTGGAAACTCACAAGAGACTCAACTTGGACAGACCGATGAGCACAGAAGAGCTGAATCAAACAATCAAGTCAATGGCAAAGAGCAACGCACCCGGTGATGACGGATTGCCAGTGGAATTTTTCGAGTCGTATTGGGAAATCCTTGGTGAAAACCTGGTCGCAGTCTACAACGAAGCCCTGGAAGGAGTTCCACTGGGTAAGACGATGACCAGGGGTATAATCACATTGCTGTAGAAAAAAGGGGACAGAAATGTGGTTAAAAACTGGCGACCGATTAGTCTGCTGAATGTCACTTATAAGCTATTGGCAAAAACTCTAGCTAGAAGATTTGGATGAATGCCTTCCCTCACTAGTAGGTCCGGAGCAGGGAGCTTTCGTTCGAAGCAGGTCTATCTTTGAGAATGTGGTGACAACAATAGAGACATTGGAACTGATCGTAGAGGAAGATAGAGATCTCGCAGTACTGTTACTAGACCTGGAGCAAGCTTATGATCGAGTAAACTGGGCCTTCGTGATGACTACCCTGAGAGTAATGGGCTTGGCCTCTCCTTTCAACGCTGGGTAAAAATACTGTATGCCTACTCCACTGCAGCAGTAGTCATCAATGGTAAAATAGCAGAAGAATTCCCGCTATCCAGGTCTCTACGACAGGGTTGCCCTTTGGCACCATTGTTGTTCGTCAT